TGTTACATATATTGTGCATAAAAACAAAGTTCCTCTTTCAGTGGTGGGTATAAAAAGAAAATTAAAAATTCGGTAAATACATGGGGCTTACTTTACGTAAGCTTGTTGAAATCCAACCAAAATATTTAATAATTTTTTTAAACACATAACTAGATTAAATTGTTATAGTAATAGAAAGCCGATCCATTATTACATTACTACACGACTTCCTCTCCGCCAAACTAAAGGCAAAAATTTAATGACTCAATAAAATCAAGTCACATTGTTAGAGCCGTGGAAAGCCGACTTTTGAACACCGTATACTACATCGTCTAACATAATTTTTCACTTATCTTTGTTATAAAATATGAAAAATTGTACTTTGCTGCCACATAAAGCCTTACTTCTCCTGAGAACTTGCATAGAATATATACCTAATCTAATCTAGTGGTAATATATAGTTTTCCGAAATATCATTTCTATTTCTCGATTTTTCTCGATGAATATGAAACATTGCAAACTTTTTTCATAGTCTTGGGCACAAACATGCGCTTTTCACTTCGTTATTACCGGAATGCTTGGCTTCGGAAACGAAATAATTTGTGTCGATACATCTGAAATCATTATACAGACCTTGCAACATCGTCACTATAAAAATCCACGGAATAAACTGTCTAACCAACTGACTAAACCCGCTTTTTACCAAAAAAACAGGAAATCATTCAAACAATGATAATCACAATGATAACAATTATCCAGTAATTTTGCAAACCTTCAAAGACAGAAAGGAGTGGTTTAAGCATTGTTTCTATAAATAGTTTTCTTAATTCACGTAGGGTCTCTATCTGTTCAGAATTTGTCATTAGCCAACAGTCATACGAAAAAAATAAAAGGTTTTGATTAGTCTGATGTCCATTACTGAATAACTAAATCATATAATTAATTTTAATTAATTGTATTTATGTACGATTATAGTTAAGGAAATCAAGTAATATTAAAATGTAACGAAAGAACGTAAAGAAATATAAACAAATCCCACCCTTCTATTGAGTGCGCAAATATTTGCTTGAAACAAATCCACAAATCACGCCAAGAAATGATTCAATAATAATTAATACATACATAAAATAGATATCTACCACTTATCAACGCCGCTCGCCACCTCGAAGCTCAAGTTCTCATCATGGGGTGCGGTTTTTGAAAGCGAAAGAGTGGCCAATAAAAATTTAATCGCCATCTAAACATTTTAAATGCAAATCATTCCGTTCGATAAAAAACCTTGACTACCGGAACGAATCGAAATACATCGATTGGATAAGAAATGAAAAAGCGCTCGAAACAATCGCAAGAGTGTGTATATTACATGCCAGAGCATAAACATTCTATTCTAAAATGATTCATGGAATTAAATGTGTCTAGAAGAGCTTAGACTTTATATAAAGAAATAAAAAATATGTCATGCTACAACTATATGCGATAACTATCATATAAGAAAAAGATAGTAAGCAAGGCATAAAGTAGTTGGAAGGGCTTTACTGAGTTAGATGACATTGTGACGATTAAAATCGTCCCTTGTTTTGAATCGTAGGTTGAAGTTTAGCTTTTTTTACATATTTTCGGTTTGATTGAAGTCTACATACAAGCAAAACACGACTGCCATAAGATAGAGCGTACAATATAACCCAGGGGTCATCATGATTAGAAATTGCGATATAAACTCGAATCAGAATCTAATAAATCGGCAACACCTACTAGCGTGAAAGCCGAGGTACTGATGAAAGAATCTCTTTCTTCTATTTTTCGCAAACGAAGTGCTAATAAAAAAGGTTCAATTATTTATCTGGGTTTAAGATCAAGTTATTGAAGTGATTAGTAGAAATAATTATAGTTTTGTGTATTAAATCAATTTAACACCGATGGCGTGTAATGATGTGAGGGTGTCGACGATATCACTTCCCTCTATACGTGTATAGGGAAAACCGAATGGCGAAAGATTATCGGGAGAGATAATCGGTGGCTAAGTCTCATTTTAGTGCACTTCTGCAATAATATGAATTTTCTTGAGCAGAATCCTCTATGTAGCCAGAGAGCGATCGCCCGTGAAACCTTTCTAGATTTCAAAACAAACTGATTTAACATTTTGCAGATCTAACCTTGCTTGGCCCCTAACTTCAAGTAATAATCGACAGCGCATTATTGATTTTTCCTGGTAATTATTTATTGTGAATGATCGAACAACGATTTGTACAGATAATCATCTCGGTCCTGCAAAAAGTTAAATAGCTGTTCCTCGCAGCTTTCTTGAGTTTTAGCTTTACTATCTACGTCATCATTGCACTTTATTAAGATGTCATAAAGCTTAAAAATATCCTTTTCACTCGAGCATTCCTCACGCAACTCCTTCATAGGGTCCCGTAACTTCTTCTGTGGTAGTTCTTCCTTCTCTTTTATGTCATCAGCATGAACTTGTAGTATTGCAAACCATTTACGTATAATAATTGGGAAAAAATCCATGTTCAGCGAAATGTAGTAAGCGAGAAAACCCTTTTTCTTTATAGCGATATGAAAAATCTTTTTGTAAAAAAGTGTCAAAAATTTCAATGATTACATTGATTTCAAAAAAAAAAAAAGAAAAGAAAAACGTACTCAGGTGGAGTGCTCAGGTTCAAAACTATACATTTTATGTAGGGCGTTTTTTATACCACAAGTGATGCGGGATAAATTAAGTTTGTGTGGGCGTATGTAACATCCAGAATGGCTTAAGACAGACTCACCATTTATTACAGTGACCGATGCAGAATCATTTTCTGAACCGATATATACTTGTTCGACCGTTGCCTACCTGCCCGTCTGATGTTAGTCCGTGAATCGCAATTTTTAAGATATTTTGATAAAACATGGTACACCGACGTCCTATAACCCAAAGAGGAGCGCAATTGAAAACTGTTCGGATCCGTTTCCTTCTAGATAAATTCTTCAAAAATGTATTTGGCCACTTTCAAATATTTTCTCTAAACACCTCAATAACCTTAATTCATCCGGGCTTTAATATCCAAACCATACGGCAAGCAGGCACTTAAAGATCTCATGATTTATAAGAAGTTCGTCGAGAAGTTTGTTGATAATTGGATTGTATTTGGATTTTTCATATTCTCTTCCTGTTATCATTTAATAGAATTTTGATTCAGAATTAACTTATGAGGAAAAGCCGCTGAAACAGTATGAAAAAAACACTTTTCTTGACAATACTTTTTGTGGAGAGAAAGAAAAGCCGATCATTCGATAATATTCGGCGGGGTTATTATGCCTATATTCAAAAAATTAAAAAAGAAACTTTCATCTTCCGATGGAGGAGATCGCACGCAGCGTAAAATATGTGAACATTAGTTAAAAAAAAACACCATTTAGCTTGCATTTCTATGTCAGGTTTTGTGTGATTAGCAAATGTTTGGACAAATAAACACAAATACTATAGTAAAGCACGACCCACTACAATACTTTGGTTAATATTGTCATTGCTATAGCGACTTTTGAAAACAATATTTTATATGCGAAGATGTCGAAAAAGCCATCTTATGGGAGTCATTTTAAATGGCGTTCGTCCTTATTGCAAAACACCTCGTTGTACCAAATTTCAGCAAAATATCAAGGAAATGCTGCCTATGCATTAAACATAAGAAAACAAGACGGGCGGACGGATAGATGGAGAGACCAGCTTAAATCGACTTTGAAGGTGACTCAGAGTTGATTGGTAAAACAAAAAGAACGATCTAGCTTAAATCCTTCTCGCTGTTGCGTACCTCCGCACAAACTTAACACACTCTTGTACCACAAGTAGTGCAAGGCACAAAAAATAAATTAAAAATTTAACCTTTGCTTTCCTACGTCTGTCGAAGATGAGGTAAAATCTTTAAAAAATAGTGATTTTTGCCAAACTTTAAACAAAACGGTCCAATTTTTGAACGAAAAAGGTGCTTTCCTCTATAAATGAAAGTTATTTTGAAAAACTTTTTGAAAATATCCTACGGTATTTTCTAGAAAATAAGGTTATGGCTTTTCAAAAATCGTATTTCAAAAAAAACTCATTTCAGTTTTCAAGCCAAGCCAAGTTTTTGACCATTCAAACTTTTGCCCCGTCCACTATTGCTTTTTTCCATAGCCATATTTGACTATTGATTGGAGGAATGATTTAAAGCAATAAAAAAAAAAAAAATAGTTTTTTAAAAAAATTACGGTAACTACCCGAGAAGTGCTACTGTAAATAGCCCGACAAATTCTGCTCGGTAGTTCATTTCGAAAACCGCCAATATCTCCTTTATATATATCAAAATCTTGTATAACAAAATTTACTTAATAACGTGTGAAGAAGAAACGGTACAACAACTTGGTGATTTACTCACTTTACGGTGTTGAGGAGAACTAGGAAAAGGTTCAATACTTTTTTCGACCCTAAACAAGTCATAAGGTTCCTTTTCGAAAGTTAATTTAGCTTACAAAGTTAGATGCGTTTAAACTAATTTCAGAAGAAAAGATTTTTTCCTCTCTTTCAAAACCACACTCTCTTCTATACGATTGAATGCAATTCAAAATTTAGACATTTCTTCAATGTAACGCATCTATGAGCCAATACCATTTCTTCAGGAATTTTCTAGATCCCCACTCTCTATACAACGTAGATTTATATCTCAAAATAAAGAATATAAAAATATTTTTTAAGTGTGTTCGTAGTATCTCAGTCTGTGTGCAGCAACGATGATTGGAGACTTCATTCTCCTTGAACTGAGCATTTTTCCTGTCGTAGCCTAAAATACCAAATAAAATTTGCTTTAAAAGCAGCCAAATGTTAGCAATTTGGTTTCGATTAAAACATGCCTTACTTCATGGTTCACTTTATCTTGGTTTAATTACTATTCCTATCCGCCCATGAAAAAACCTTAAAATTCATATACGTAAGCAGATAATTAATTTTCTTTTTTCTTAAAACATTGCGTCATTTTATTCCCTTTTTCCACATAAACTATTTATTGCAAATGATCGAATAGCGTTTTGGATACACAATTGTCCCGCTCCTGCAAGAAATCAAACAATTCCTGCTCGCACGTTTCTTGAGTTTTAGTTTTACTGTTGACGCGGTCATTGCAATCGTTTAAAATGTCGTAAAGCTTAGAAATTTCCCTTTGATTTGTACATTCTTCACGCAAATCCTCCATAGGATCTTTTAATTCCTCTTCTTCCGGCTCTTCTTCGGAGTCTTCTTCCGGCTCTTCTCCTTCTTCTTCGCCTGGTTCATCCGCATGAATTTGGCCTATTGAAAACCATTCACGTATCGTTTGGAAAACATTCATTTTTACCACAAAAGTACGAGTTGTGTTTGCGAAAACTTCCTTCTTACAATTAATTATAATTAAGTTACTCTCCATGTCTACATATATATATATATATATACATAAAAAACAATTTCAAAGGCTGCTTTGATTTTTGAAGAAAAAAAAATGCACAATGAGAAAGGGAGAATGTGTGGGCGAAATTTATTAAATCGATTCAAGGTCGTTTTACAGTTCTCGACAATTACGTACTCTTTGTAATGAGCAAAGAGTTAACGATTGTCGGTAAATATATTTTTATACCTTACACCGCTTGTGGTACAATGGTACAATGCGTGGATGTATACAACACCCAGAAGGATTTGAGGTGTACCCGTCTGTTATTATTCCGGATGTAAGGCTGTCTGTTCGTGTTGTGTTTAACCCATGTCTTGATTAGACTTAGTATAACGAAATGTTGGGCTTAAGGATGAATGCTACTAAAAACGGTTTGGTTCGGATCATTTTTTCAACAACTTTCCTTGTAACAATTTATTTTAAAAAGCTTTTCTATAAGTAACTGTATAAAGCAAAGTGGTTTAGATGTTGAACGGTGAGCTTTGGCCTACTGCAGTGTCTTTCCTTGTTCTTATCACCGAATGAAAAAATCTTGCGATTGTCAAACCGCTTTGAAGTAACAGGTTGCAGTTACGAATGAATGGAAAACCATAAGCGACCTCAGAATTTTACTTGCATTAAGAACGTGCAGACTTTATGACTCTATGACGCTGATTATTTATGGAAATCGTAAACGGATAAGAAAATTCTTTGCCCGTTATTGTTATTTGTTGCTATACAACTTGTTAATTTATAATTCACTCACTATCTATGAGCATTAGTTTTTTTTAAATACGTTCTTCAGGCACATATCTTTTCTGGCCACATGCCGCTCATCTGTATAGAAAAAGTTAAAACTGCTTTAAGGTATCATGCTGCAGATGCGTATGTCGGTGAAAATATTTCAAGTTCAGTCCAACACTATTTGTCCTCCATATATGTTGAGCTTCTATGTTATAATAATGAAACCATTGAATTGGTTACTCAAAATAATTGCCAATATTGTTCTTGTGCCTGATAGCAAATCTGCCCTACAACCATTCCATCTTCTTATATGAACTAACTTTCATTTTTCGTTTGGGTGCCCTACCGTTTTGATCTCTGCCTCTTTCACTCTCTCTCGCACTAGCTCTTTTACTTTCTTTTGTTTCGGCTCATTACTAAACCCCCTACACCACTTCGCTTAATGCAGTTATTCATATAACGACGGTTAAAAGTAAAGTACAGTATATGGGAAGTGGTAGTGCTCTCGTTCTTTGTGTATAACACGTCGTTGTAGCAAATACCATTACAATATCTCAAAAATTGCGACCTATGGCTTGAACACAAGAAAATAAGACGGGCGGATGATCAGAGAGAGCTAAATCGATTCGAAAAGTGCTTCTGAGCCATTCTGGACATAGCATATATCCACACATCTTATACCACAAGGTATGTACGGTACAAATGGCCCATAAATGTTGCTGATTGCCCTCAAAAGTAACTCACGATTTTTAGAGACATTTTGTTCTCCCACATATCGGAACAGAGAATTTCGTGTTGATGCAAGAGAAATAGATGGAATTGTTCTTGTTACATGCCAAGTATTACTTTAATTTCGTATGAATCTACCGTCTTCTGAGAAGCCCTTTGACGCCTCTGCGAAATTGAAGTTTTGCATGGTCTTCTTACTGAACACACATATCAGTTACTATTCGTGAAAAGATAATATTTGCAGCGGCCCTGCCCGTCGTCGCTTAGGATTAATGTCTCATTTTGTAATCTCTTTTCAATAATCTATCGCTTTATTAAGCATCATCACGAATCGTTAAAAAGCCGATATAGTAGAAGGAAAAAATTTATTTTCAAACAGGGTTTGTCAATTTGTTTGCTTTCCTCGCGGTTATGAGCATTTAGCAATCCCTAGAGGCTAGGAAGAAACGTCCTTCGCTTCCAGCAAATTTGTCACCTACCAAGTTCTACTCAACAAGGAAGCCAGCGACAGCGCTGCTGTTTTAATTGAAGAACTAAGAGAAAAACTAACAAGTGAAAAAGTTGTAGTCAGCGGAGGCCGAATCTCACACACCCATGACTACGTTTTCCGCATTCGACTCTTAAAGTTCTTTTATTTGATACCCATATCGCTGGTATTATTAAGGAAAAATTAATCGCGGTATCTACTAAAATGAAGCCATTTTTAGGCAGTAGATATATCTTCATTTAAGGAGTATACAAAATACTTTTAAACATTCGGTCTTAGTTGCCTTACGATAAATAAGCATAACATTTCAAAAAAGTGAAAACAACACTATTTAACCACTAGTAACCTTGTGTGGGCATGGCGGAAGTTTTTCATTTTTAGAGCAAATGTGGAAAATTTCGTGCAGAAACTTCCAATGCTTCTACCAAATTTGAATTTGATGTCCTTATTTTTGTGACCGGCGTGTACCAACAACACAAATGACACAGACGGACGGACATGGCTAAATCAATTTAGAATTTCACGCTGATCATGAATATATCTACTTTAGAGATTTATGTACTAAGGATTCCTTTCGGATATCAGGAATAATTAGAGGAAGACATAGTTGGTAAAAAAATCAAGAAGCTACAAAATCAAACAGTTTACACTTGTTCAATTTAATAGAGGTTGTTATAAATGAATTGTAGAATTCTAAAAATTGATATCAAATTCACGAGACTTTCAGGGACTTGATAAGCTGAAACCTCTGATGCCTCTCGGGAATCTTTCGTAGGCCTCAGTTTTATAATTTGGTCAGCGCTCTCTCATCTCCCTGCGTTCATAAACGAAAATATGAAAAAATCCCAGAAATCCCATAGGATCAAAAGTCTTATTTATAGTCAAAGAATCTACTTGTCGCCCCAAACACCAAACAAACAAATAAACCTACAAGCAAAAATGTTTTATGTGAGAACACGGGTGCGTATGTTTATTCACTTATACATAGCGAGAATGTATAGAAGCGAAACACATGCTTCAGAATTTATAAAATTTCAAATTTTTAGTTTCTGAGCTTTGATCGTCTGCACATATTCGATAGTTAGGATTTCCGGCCTCGACCAACCCGTTTAGTCTTCATGCGTTTAGCCTTGCCTTTCTCAATTACAGACTTTTGCGATGCAATTTTGGTCAATGACCTCTTTTTTCTTGCTACATTTCTAAACCAACGTCGTATGACTGCCACGGCTCGTGCAAATTTAAATACATCAACCCGGGCGCCATAATAATTCATGTCTTTCTTAATAACCAGTTCATAATGTAAATTCTTTACACGTTTACATTCATCTGCAAGGTTTTTCGTGCGTTTCTTCATTGTTTTATACGTTTCCGACAGCGAAATTGCTTCAGACACCTTCTCAAGCATCATATTATCATATTTTTCGATCAAACTTTCTAGACTTATGGTAAGCTTGCTTCTGAAAAATGCCATATGAAAAACTTTACAATTAATATCTTTGTTCAGGCATGAAACGTTGTTTTTGAAAGTTGTCTCACTCTTCCCTTTTTAATGAACTTGAGACAATTTTCAAGAAAAAAAAGCGATCCATTACTAAAGAATATTTTTTAGATATGTACCGTTCAGCTGCGGCGATCTTCTCTGCCTGCAAATTCTGACGCAATGTTGTCTCGTAAGAGTTTTTCGCGACTTGGTTTTGATCTTCCAACTCTTTTTCCTTTAAGGCGTAAAGTTGTCGTGTTTTCTTTATATTTCTTGTAATAGAATACCTAAAAGAAATAATGTTGGGTCGTGTGTGAAAAATTAATATCAATGGTAAAGAAGGTCATCGTTTTTTTTTTTTTTTGAGAACGTACGTTTCCGTTTGAAAATTGGTCGCCAAGATAAACGCTTGAGTTTGTAGTCGTTTTCCTAAGCGATGCACTACAACTTCTCGAGCGATCTTCTTCCAAAATGTTGACACTTTCCGGCCTTCTAATTTTTGTTCGAGATCTGTTAAAATAAATTCTCGACATGTCAGTTTTTCTCAACTCTTCGCAAATTTTTTAGAGATTGTTTTACATTTAGTTTCGGCTATCATATCTTCACTTTTGTCATAAAATTCATTTGCTTTTTGTTGAATTTCCAGCTCTTGAAAAGGTCCTCGGCAAAAACGAATTCGGGCTATTTGGAGTGTAAGCTCTAAACATTTGAGTAATTTTAATTCGCCCGGGCTTAGATTATCAAACCATCTTTTAGGTAAATACTTAAGCATCTCATGATTTATCAGAATTGTCTCAATAATTTTGTCCGAATCTCGATTTATATATTTGGGTATGTCATATTCTCCCTTATCCTATCATAGTTAAAAGGGGGATTTTTTTTTATATTTAGAACTAACACATGCACCCATTATAATACTACGTACTTTGTTTGCGTGGAAGTCTTCAATTAAGTCTGAGACAAATTCATATTTAGTGCCCGATAAACATGTTTTCAACTTTTGATAATTTTCAACAATTATTGGCAGTAAGAGTGCAAGTTTCGCTTTCTGCATAAATTCCGTTATTATAATAAAGAATGCTTTCGTTCTGACTTGCCTCTTATCTGCAGAAGATGGGCAAAATAATATTAATTACATAACTCTTCTCTCATTTGATTTGATTTGAAAATATAACATACCCGCTAAAGATTTCTTGCGTAATTCTTCGTCACACTTCGCTTTAAGTGTTCTGTTCATTTTAAATGTATTTGCCTGCTGCTCGCTATGTTATAAAATATTCACCCTTGGTATTATAAAAATAAACTGATAACAAAATAACACGTTTGCGTTAAAAACCGACGATACGTACAAACGAATATTTACATATGAATCAAAATTCTTCAAAAAACTATTGACGTAAATAAAATATGTGAAAACAAAAGAAATGCTATATTGAATCCATTGTCTGGGGCACACAGTAGAATTTTGAAATCGCTGTATGTTAGGCCGTCGGTATTGCTAAAGTCAATTACGTTATATAGTGTTATAGTGTTATAGAGTTAGATATTTAGATTAAAGTGTCTCATGTCTGGATTTACCTTAAAGTTAAAGCCTATCTGCTGATGTTGGATATAACAAAGTCTAAGAAAAATGCACACATTTGTTGGTTTAAGCCGCAGCCCACTAAACTTGGAGAAACACATTACAAAACAGGTAAAAACTCTTTAATGGCCCGGGGGCCACCATTAAATATCTTACTTTACCTTACAATTATTCATGTGACCACTATTCAGAATAAGCAGTTATATGGGAAAAAGTTGTCCGATCTGAACCATTTTCAATCGAGTTCATCCTTGGGACAACGTACATCAATGTGGAGTTTGTCTTGGGACAACATACATCAATGTACCGAATGTCGTCGAACTATCTCGAAAGTTGCAGCCTGTAGTTTGAACACAACCAAACAAAATAGAAGAACATACGGACAGACAAGCTTCAATCGATTTAAAAAATGATTCTGGGACGATTGGCATAGTCAAAAGTGGATCCATATCAAGTCTTTCTTCGTCTTCTAAATTACCCTCTTACACTTTTAGAAGGAGAACTTTACTTCGCCATACCACTAAACAAAATGAAAGACTAGTAAAAACACTGTAGTGGGACAGGGTCCATCATTAGCAACTCTACGCCATTTCGTTTGATGCGTTTATTTGAAAATAACGGCTTTCATTGAAAGTGATCGAAAAAATTATCCGATCCGAACCATTTTGAATCGTTTTCGTCTTTGGGCCAAAATACATCAGCGGACTAAAAGGTGTAATAAAATATGGGTGTTGTACAACAAGTGGTGTAGGTTAATATACACGAATAAATTCGGGAAAAGCTAGTAGAAATAGTTGCCTGTTAAGCAAAATTTTTAAACAAATAGGTTCCATGATTTATTTCAAATATTGTAATAATCATGTTATAAGGAAGGATGGAAGAATTAAGTTATCGTGTTCCTGTATTCCTGATCCTGCGATAGAATGATATGATCATACATTTCTACATATGCGAACCCATATATATATATATATATATACATATATATATATATATATACATATAGTACATATTATATATATATATATATATATATATGCATGTATATGTATATACGTATATACAGAGTGCATATATTGTATTTTATTAAAAAATATTTCTATATATAATACAAAGTACGTAGCGACGCTTAATAAAATTAAATAGATCCTGTAACTCATAGAAATTTCCATCACTTTCTCTTTACTTTCTTTCTTTTAATGCCTACGTCAGCCGTTTTAGTATTTTTTCCTTGTGACCTAACATCTTTTAAGGCGGCTTTTTTACGCCTCTTCAATAAGTGTTTATACCAATATGTTAATATTTTAACTGCTCCTGTTACGATTCTGAATCGGCTCCATCGTTTGTCTCTACTCATAAGCTCATTATATATTTCTTCCGCCCGATTGAACTCAATTTGAAATTCATCGACGTCTTTCTGCAATTTTTCGCATCGATTGTTCAAGACAATTTCTTCCTGCATTTTCCGAAGCAGCATTTGATCATATTCCTTAAACAGTGCCTGCATTTCAAACATTTGTTTATTGCTGTCAATATATTTTTGAAAAAAAAAGAGAAAGAAGAAGATAGGAGACTTAGTCAGGTAATAAGACGACAATAGGATATTGCTGTGTTTAATACAATTGAGCTCTTGCGCCCTTCTCAAGTCCCACATTTTTTTTCACGTTCCCTTCATACAGAGATCTTTCGGCTTTCAATTTTTCTACTAAATCTTTTTCGGTAATTGCGTGATATTGTCGTACTTTGAAAATTTCCTCATCGGTATCAATTCTAGGAGAATGTGAAATAAATGATGTGAAAGAATTATTAAACAAATAGAAACATTTTAAAAGATTACTCGGCCTTTTCTATATCGTCATAAGGAGGCATTTTTACGTAACGAGGTTCTGGCGGTTGTACAACGTTTTGCTTTGATTTCATTTCCTCAATTTCTCTTCGCGTTTCTGTCGATTACGTTTTGGTGGGTGTGTTACTTTTACTAGCATCTTTATAATTTTTTTATTATTTACTTACTTTCTATATAGTTCTTTAAATCTTCGTTATTATGCTGCGTTTGATTTATATTCGATTTCATTTCCATTGCTGCTAAAGATGTTTTTGAAAGATTACCGCCGGCAATATTCTTTATAATCTCAAGATAGCTAAGTAGCTTTAATTGATTTTGATTAAGATATTTAACTACTTTAGGTATATAACGAAGAATTCCGCTATTGTTTATGAAATAATCGATGAGGCTGTTAGTAGCTCTATCTGGATACGTGGGTATTTCTTCTTGAGGACCTTCCCCCTAATATTTAATTTAATGTTTTTCAGTTGAACAGAATATTTATTTAATATTGAGAAGCGTTGAGTTAACCTTATCTCTGAGAAAATCATTAATTATCTCTATGGCTTGTTCGTATTTGCTATTCTTTAAACATTGGCAAATTGTTTGGGGATTTTCCAAAATTTCCGGGATGAGTAAAGCAATTTTGAGATTTTCACTAAGCGCTTCAATTAAATCACACAAAGTTTCCTCTATACGCATGTGAAAAAGGTGAAAATGTATAGCAAATCTTCTTAGAAGGTTAACAGCAACCGAAGCAACCTACCGCGTTTCTTCCAATTGAACGACGGCTTTTCATCTGTTCCAACCCAACGAACTGAATTATAGCTTTTCTTCATTGCGAATTTTTTGTCGCTATGTGAACACGTTAACGTTAATAACAACAAAAATTAACTGAAAACAAAATAAAATAAAGAAAACCTAACAACTGAATCACAATTCTATCAAAAACCATTTATGAAAACGAAAAATGAAAGCACGAAGAAAGCTATTTGATATCTTGTGTTAGTACAGTGGAACTTCTAATCTTATGACATGTAACTACCAAAGTATAATACGGTACACATGTACACATTATCTAAATTTCCCCATGCGGAAATAAACAGGTTATGTCCTGTCGAATTCGATTGAAGTTTTCAGTCGCTTATCAAAGCGATGATGATCTTGGAATTCAGACAAACGCTTGCACTCGACGCAAGCTCCTTTCGATATGCGTCGTCTTTTAAGACACGGTTTCCACACATCGTACACATTTCCACAAAGTCCACTTGAAAAACTTACTTTGTTTCGCGAATAAATTACGATAAGTGTTCCCGTAGAATGTCTGCCTTGAAGAATGTTTTTGTAAAATTCCGCATGCCATCAAGTGAACAATGCTCTATTTGATTAATATACACGTGAGAGGAGAAATAACACGACGTTATGATAACATGACATCGTGTTCACACAGTATGAGAAGAAGAAGACAAGAATTAGCATGCATAAAGGCATTAATATACGCGATAAAATACGATATACATATATACGACATGCGAAATCAAAACTCTACGGAACTTAGCCGTATTGTGTTTCGCTCTTATGCACGTGCGGCTTTTGGGGTAACTTTGAATGAAACTGAAACGCGGTGTTCGAACTAGGCACGATTCTTCTTAGGACTAAATACAAAGCTCGAAGCGATAATATGAAAGGGGATACAAGTTTACAGTCAGCTAGAAGGGACCGTTCAACACCTTAGCCCATGTCGAAAATGCTTTTGCGGCTCAATTCGTTTTTAACGGCCGTGCGTACGCAAGGAGTCTTTGTTAATTTTTTGATTGTTTCATTTGCATCATTTGCGTTTCAAAAAAAAAACTCTACCTTAACTAGCTGTTTTGTGCTAGCACGTATGTGCGAGACACACATTAACCATAACCAAACGCAATAAAGTAAATGTTTAATAAACAAATACCTGAATAATCCAGAATAGAATAAGACACAAATCATTTATTAGTACGTGCTTGCATGTATTTTGATCAACGACAGATGTCATTGAATATGATAAAGTACAGTAATACGAGGCATCAATGCACGCAACCGTTGAATTCGATAATTTCGACCTATCTCTACATAAAATAACAGTTTTCCATTTAGGATTATTGAGTTATTCAGAGGTCATGTAACGCATTTTCGACATTTATCACTTTTGTTGTTTGATTTGCAGTCTGCGGAATGAAATCTGCTGTCGAAGCCCATCAAACACTTTTAGAAACTTATGGTGATGCTGCGGCATCGTGTCCCATCTATTAGCTTCGGTTTCAACGGTTTAAAAGCGCTGATTTCGCGACAAATGGACAAAAAAGCTGACCTGAGGACCAAAAAAATTGGAAGACAATGACTTGCAATAGTTAATGGACGAGAACCCTCAAAGAACTTTCAAATAGCTTTACAGTCTATTGGTTACCACTTTAGATCAATGCTGAAGAAGTGCTAAAATGTATCGCTGCCGAACCAATACAGTATCGGCTTGTTGCTAGAGAGGTAGGAAAATGTTGTAGAAAATGATGGAAAGTACTTTGATTAACATATATTGCACCAGTTTTTCCCAATCAATGCCTTGTTCAAGTGAAAAAAATGATCAGAATACCGGCAAGCTTCTAATACTATTTGGATATTTATACGTAACCCATGATGCGCACTTGGCTACTCTAGCCAAGTAGGTAAAGGATCCTGGCTAACAGCTAAATGACGCGAGCACAAAATTCCAAGTGTGGTATAGTTTTCAACACAGGCGAGTATGTGATGTAAATTATTCGATAGACTTTATATCGTTACCTTCTAAATTTGTTAACAA